TCACTCTTCAAACCGATGTTATATGTGTTTGTCTATGAATTAAGCTTAAACTACTAAACTTTTAACGTTAGATAGGGGTCCCTTAAACCTACACCTGGGTCACAAGTCCCAGTCACTGTTGAAGCTCCTCTCACTACAACGATGGACCCGACACACGCACCGTGAATACATGGAATGATGAGAGGTTTCGTCTCTACAGAACAGTAGTGGATGTATATTGTATAGTAGTAGGTATTACAACTAGTAGTGTCTAGTTGAACTTGTTGAATAAATCATGTATAAATTTGATTGAATGTGATTTTTCCGAGTCATATGTACTTTCTAAGAGTATTTAGACATCACTGATTAATGCATTCCCAAAGAGGGTTGATGTCAGGCAGGCGGCGGGTCGTAAAAACAAATAGCTAAAACTTTATACAACATGTAAGGCAGACCCTGGCTTAAGCTGGGAAATTGCCAGGTAGAAGAAGTGATAAAAATAAGATATAATTCTAAGATGAAATCTTTATTTCAGATGCTGTGACTTTTTCATATCAATTAATAAGTCTAGAAATAATACGCTTTTACGAATTCAATTCTTTATATTAGCAGCCATTTATGTAACAATTTTAACCGACAGTAAAATAAGAGTATTATGTATAGTTTGCTAACTATGTATACATAATGGGAGCTGGATGTTTCAACTCATTAACGCGTACGTTTGTCTGTCTGTCGATAACTAGTGAACTATTTATAGATAAACTAGCTTTCCGCCCGCAGCTTCACCCGCGTGTAGTTAGATTATATCGCGTTTCTAAGAGAACCTTTCAAAAGTCTGGGATAAAAACTATCCTATGTTCTTTCTCAAGGTCAACTCTATGTCTGTACCATGTTTCATTAAAATCAGTTCAGTGGTTTAGGCGTGAAAACGTAACAGACAGACAGACAGAGTTACTTTCGCATTTATAATATTAGTAGGGATGTGGCAAGACGCTTGTTTGCTTAAACAAATAAATCTTGAGCATATTTTCATGAAACTTAGCGAAAGTGTAGTTTAAATATTGTGAAAAAATATAGCATTTTCAATATAAGAATGCTTTGATGACCTTTTGAACGCTCAATACAAGTTCGCGTACTCGCACTACAGACTACGCGTTTCACGTTATTCATTAAATAGTACCTTAGTACTATATAAATACTGTTAACGCTGCGTATTTAGTTAAAACTATCCAAGAACAAGTATTCCGTAGTCCGAAGGGCAGTTCGAGAGTTATTTGCACCCAAATCCCTTACCCAAAAACTGTATACCTGCCATGAGGAGATGTCACACGAAAATAAACCTAATTTTAAAGCATTTGAGATACTTTTTGCCCAAAATAATTATAACTGAATACGCTGTTCACGTTTTTGCTGCATCAAATCCCAAGTTTTTCGTCGTACTGCGGTGAATTATACATTTGATTTAAAATGTACTCTAATAATTACATAATAGAGTTGATTATTGATTATTATCTATCTATGTATACTTCAATGGTATTTTTGTTGAGAGACAATCGTTTTAGACAGTGTACAGAAAGAAATATGTATGTATAACCGACTTCAAATAAGCGAAGTGCAGTTTATTATCTAGATTCGTCACGATATATTTTAGTACTATTTGATTAAAAAAATACTGGTACAATTATCGTGAATTTTTATGCTAATGCGTTCTTATATATATGCATGTTTGTTAATGTGTTACGCAAGAAATACAAAACTATTTTTTATATAAATGTACACGCTTATCCATACTAGAAGATATTATAAAACATAAATTTAAATTTACATGCGTAGCGAGGAAGACACGATGAAAATTGTTTTTTGTACATTAAAATATATATTTCAATGAGTAGATATTTTTTATAAACAAAATTTTCTGAACGTGATCACGGTTGTTGTAAAGTAACCGAAACGTCGGGAGTATGTAGTTTATAATCAAAAACAAAATCGCGTAGTAAATCCGAAAATATTAGTTTCATTTAAATGAGTACTCGCGAAAATCTTTTATCTCATAATAACAAGATTTTGGTTCATTCTTCAAACAATCTGTCTTCAATGTACAACAAATACATTGACTTTAATACTTCAAGGAATTAAATAAAATGATAATTTATTTTACTACAAACTAAATAAGCGATTGTTTAAAATATGATTCAGTATCCTTACCAAGAGTCTACATCGTTACTACACACGACGCGTCTCCCGTTTCTCATTCAATAGTACGATAATACTATGTGAGAGGATATTAATGAAATACTTTTGACGCTACGTACGATGATACAAACTTGGAGTATTCATGTTAAAATTACTTAATATTACAAGTAAATCCTGGAGCTCATTATTAGCTTGTTTTATTCAATAAGTTTCCAACATCAAGTATTGTGACAGACAGACATTTATGTATTTTTTAATATTATTATTCAACATTTTGATCGTGTGATTGGTTAGTGGTTAACAGGCCCGCCTCTAATGCATGAGGGCGCGAGTTCGATCCTGGCAAGTACAAATGTGATTTTTTCCGAGTCTGTATTAATGTATTCCCAAAGAGGGTTGATGTCAGGCAGGCGGCCGGTCGTAAATACAATTAGCCAAAACTATCCACATGTAAGGCAGACCCTGGCTTAAGCTGGGAAGTTGCCAGGTAGAAGAAGAAGACTATTATTCAACATTTTGTTTGAAGCACAAATACTTTAGGGCATTGACGCTACGTATGTAGTGACGCAAGCTAGTAATAAGTATTGATGCTATTAAAATTCATGACATATCCAGAGGTCTGATTATCCAGGTGTTGAGTACCGCGTGTACACCTGGACAGTATAAATACACCTGGATAATTCATTACCATACAATTTTAAAACCAGTTTCGCTGTACACTGAATATAATCTGGCAGGTTCAATCAACTCTGTGGGATATAAACGACAATAATAATATACATATATAGTATGTAAAAATTTAATGACGTCATATATGTGACGTCACTATACCCTAATAATAATCTTACCAAAGGTTCGAGTTATGCAAAATACTGTACTCATAGTTACTCGTGCTCCATTAATAAAAACTGTTAAACTAATTATTAAATTTAGCCTTTGATATTAATCTATCTATATTCTACATGTAAATATAATCTGTGTGACAGTTGAATAAATCCTCACTCTCTGTGCTTCTCTAGCAAGTGTAGTTTAATTTTCAAGACATCTCCTCCATTTAATAATAAAGTTATCAAAAACTACTCGTACTAAGGAAAAACTTCGAAACTGTCAGTCTTTACTTACGAACCCGTATTAAACCTACCATACGTACTTATGTACATATATTGTAATACATTATATTATATTATATTACATTATACAAAGAGCCGGCATCCCGGGCGACATCCGCGTGTAAATATAAAACTATATTTAGGGTGGGGTCGTTGACCCGGGGACTACCTGCGCGCCCGCAGACACTACCTGAGGCGGAACCGACGAACACACACACACACACACACACATATATATATACAATATAATAATAAATTGAATAACATTTATCGCTTTATAGAATTATGTTTACAATGTAAGCTATGTTACATTAACATATAAATGTCGGCAAAGACATATAATATACATATATTTATATATATGTATGTATTTAACAAAAATAACAATGTTTTTCCTTTATATAAGCACTTTGTTGTGGAAACAATTGTAATTTAAATGTATTAATTTATATAACAAAATAACCTGTTCCTCTTAAATACTTCACCTATCTACCAGTTTAAATACAATAAAAATTGGTCCAGCCGTTATGGAGATAAGTTTGAACAAACAAATATATTTTTATATATCTTTTAGTATATTTTGTTAAACGATTCAATGTATATTTTATAATTAATTAGATTGAAATGAAATTTAATGTACAAATAATACCCGACTTCATTTAAATACATTTATTTGACAAGATGACTTACATTTATGAAGTATAGTAGATACTTGAATAGCACATTTTCTAAATGAATTTCTACAATTTAGTTTGACAAAGATATGTATACACAACTAGACAAAAAATGTATAGGTACATAAAAACATTATACTGTAGAAAAACTGTGTACTATGAAAAACTAGACAACTATATATATATATATGCTGACAGACAGTGAACGAAAACATCATGAGGAAACCTGGACTTATAATTTCACAATTATAAGTTTGTAATCACCAACCCGTCTTGAGCAAGCGTTGTGATTAATGCTCAAACCTTCTCCATGTGAGAAGAGGCCTTTGCTCAGCAGTGAGTACCGATAGGCTGATGATAATGATGTTATAGTTCTTCCACTGGCAACACTAACATATATTCAAGAAATCGGTAAATCACAACTAAATACTATGAATACAACTATAGAATTAATTGACAAACATTAAATAATAATAACTGGATATACAAATATAATGAAAAATATCTGACATTCAACTTATAGGTAGAAAAATAACAAAAAAACATACAAAACTCGAGGAAGTGTCCGTACCTCTCACTTGTCCTTACATGAACACAATGAGATCTAAGACTTTCGCGACTATTCATTTAAATGAAACTAATATTATTCGGATGTACTACGCGATTTTAATTTTTGATTATAAACTACATACTCCCGAAGTTTCGGTTACTTTACAACCGTGATCATTAAGACGAGATGTGTAAACAGACAAAAATCTCAAAGACGAAGCATATTGAAATCAGCATAAAATATATTGTTCAATGTGGGTAAACATGGGCTGGCGTGATGCTATTTATATTGAGATAATGTAGGTAGGCGGCACACATGAGAATCAATCTAGTGAACGGAGGCTGGGACTAACACGTGGACATTACGCCCCGCTCATGAATAGCAAATAATGCTCTCACACAGTACATGATAATTGGCTTGGTTGAGAGGATGTCACGTAAAGATGACTCATGTGAGTGGTATGTGTTGTGTTTGAGTGCTATGATATCAACTGACCTGTAGTTCTGCTCGTAGTCCCAGTAGTCCTTGTAGCGCGGGTGCCAGCGCGGGCCCCCGCGCGAATAGGGCCGTCTAGAGCCCCCCTGGCTCATATCTCCTGCGCCATACCACAACGTATCGATCGGCGCCGAAGCGGGCTCGCACGCCCGCTGTTCAATATCACCTGGACGCCACAAAACCAATATCACACCGCACAATGTCACTGTCACGCCACGATGATTTTTCAAAAAACAGTTTTAGGACCCCAACGGAGCCCTGCGCGTTGTTTTGAGACAACTGCAGTGGAACGAAGCTCGCGCGGACTGAGCGCACGCAAGCGCGACAACGTCACGGACGAATTACACGGCGCGACCTCTGGCGGAAGTATTTAGTATTCAGTTTAAAAAAACGCCGCCAATGGCACATGAAAATTTAATGATGAATAATTTAAAATTATCAATGCGCCATCAATTGTTATATCTCACGCAGGATGGCTGATACATTGAGCAATGAAATAGTAATCACCGCTTAGGACAAACAGGATGCGAGCAGACGATGCTAAGTATTGATTTTATATTAAAGAGACATGCAACCACATAAATTATAAGCAACTAATCATCAGGAAACGAGCGGCGCTGGAACGTTACGAGGCTGGGCGTGTTATCGCGCACTTCAAGTGTTCACATAATTAATATGAATCACACTATTATCTAGCTGGTGTTACGCACTAAGGAACATATATATTTCACTTCGATTTCACTACTGAGATAACAACAGCTTTCGGAACACACAAAGACTCCGTAGCTAATTCCTCGAACAACAAAAACCGTGAAATATTGAGGATACAAAAAAAACCCAACGCTCTTCCTTAATCGGACTGTATAATACGTAAGCTTCAAAAAACCTTTACACAACTTGTCTTCATTCCAACATGTTGTGCTTAACGCGCTTGAAATCGAGGAGGTAAAATTATATGGAAATATTGACGTCTAATTTTAAAGCGCTTCAGCGATACACGAACTTATTGCCCCGCCCATTGTTATTATAATGCAGCCAACATGACGCACTAAGAGCTGTGTGAAGTTAGCTGGAATACAAACTACATGTTGAAGTTATCTCTTTCTATCTAATGAATGTGAAAAGGATAGACATATTAGTTTATACGTAGTAAATCAACATGCTGCAAGGCGTTTACAAAATAATGGCAATGTTAAATTTATCTAGATGTGGTTTTTATTACTCAAGCAATTAGTGTCATTGAAAGAAGCTAACAAGTTTGAAATAACTAACAAAATTATTATGACGAGAGAAAAGATTTGGTCTCATTTTACCACAGTTTAATACAAATACTTTTTACAATGTTCCAAATCGTTGAGAGGCATAATTATCGCCTTATCAGGCGTATTTATGCTATGGGGCCTTTAACTACAGAGGCAGCGAACCCGTATAAGCGTCAAATGTTAAACGAAATTTCATTCTAAATTGAAGGACAAATCTTAAATAACTAGGAGAAAAAAACTTTAATATTATTAACCTAAATAATATATTTATTCCTTTGCTTTTACTTGTAGAGTATAGTAGATGAGTTGATCTTAAAAAGGGTGATATTTTCTACTCTCCTACATCACTACAGATGAAAAAAAGGGTGCCCTCAAGATTTTTATATTGGGTGATGTATTAAAGGCAAGCTGCGCCCCTTTCTACACTCTCCGTTGTTGAGTCGATTACGTATTTGGTATACTGTTAAAGGTGAAATTAAAATCTTCTCTGAATATAAGTTTTCTTAGTCTGTTTATTCAATAAAATAAATAAATATGATAGTTACATGATATTTATAACATTATGACAATATTTATATAACCCTGAAAGTATTTTCATATACGTAAATAAGATACAATGATATCTATATAAAAAGGCGCTTTCATCTCGTCTGAACTTGATAACGGTTGCTGTAAAGTAAATTAGACGTCGCGTAAAATATAAAACATTATAAAAAAATATACTTTTTATACAAATGATATTCATTAAGGTTATTTTATAAATAATGATAAAAATTAAAATTATAAAAATAAAATGGGACATTACTCAATTTCCATTTCAAAGTTGTAAACTACGACTCTGTTACAACATGGCGTCCTCTGCATTTTGAACAAAACTATTTATGTTTATTTCGGCGGGAGACCGATTATTTCTTTAAAGTTGTTCAAACTAATGTTATTTTTATTCTGATGCATTAACTTTTAAGAATATACTTGTGATAATTTGAATAACTTAGTAAATTTTTATGTAAACTATTTTTAAAACAAAGTAATACACATTTTTTTCTTACACGATACAAAAATCGAAATATTTATAGTGTTTCAAGATATATAATATCAAATATATTAAAATGGCAGTGTAATTGATATAAATATAAAATTAAATAAAACTAAATCAGTGAATAATCATGTTTTATTATAAAAAATATACATTTAGAAGATGTTGTAGTCACTCGGGTCGTATATCTCAGAGAGGAGTCGATAGATGTATGAAGGTGAGCTGCCTCCGCTGTAATAATGAAAAAAAATTAGACAAAAATACCATTATTTCTTAAGGTTGCTCTCCACTTGGCGTTGGCTATGTGTGGACGGTATATTTGACATATTTGCGTCTTTTGATATGTGTTAAAAACCGACCGGCCGGATCGGCGTTTTCGCTTATTTATGTATGTATCTTATATTTTTATTTTTAGGTTTACCAACAATTGTTTACACCAATACAATGTAAAATAGGTATCATTAATCTAGGGTACAGTGTAACAAATACTTAAAGGTAAACTCCGCATGCACACTTTAAAATAAGTCTACTTTAAAAAAACTATAGAAAAATTTGTTTTCCACTATAAAAAGTACAAAACTTGCAAAAAATATATAAAAAAAAGTTTACAAATAAAATGCATAGGAACAATGAAATTCACAATTAAAGAAATTAATACGTGTTAACAAAGGAGCTATAGCATAATTATTCTTTTAAACAATTTTGTATAGTTTTATTTGTGTATATGTTAAATTAAGTCGAATAAATCCTCCACATATTGTCTTATTTGGCCAAACACAACAAATAAACGCCAAGTGAAGTGCCACCTTTATAAAATTTACAAAAAATAACGTATAAAATTAATATACAAGTGTATAGTTAGATATTTCTAGAACTAAATTACTAACTTGGTCACTTACTAAGATATTTCGACAAGAGATGATTTTTTTCATTTATTACTATATAGGGTGACTGGTGAATTACTATCAATATTTAAGGAGAATACTCGGTACATGATTCTCATTCGAATTATGTAAAAGAAATAGGTACTTAATTTTTGACAAAATTTCCGTATAAATAAATAAAGCGTTGACACGTTCCAAGTGTGGACGCGTGCGGCGGCGTGCTGATACAACACCACACCGCCGCACGCGTATGTTTGTGTGTGTGTGTGTATACCTAATCCGTAGGTAGTTCAGACAATGCGTAATTAATTACATAACTTTTGGTTAACTTTACTTAGAAGTTTATTAATATTTATGTTATATTAATTTTAAATATCACGTCCTCAAGTATCGATAGTAATTCACCAGTCACCCTGTATAATTCATATTTACTATGTAAATGTATTAAATTTAATTTTAATTAAAAAACGATTTATAAGTATTTAGGAACTGTTTTAAATTATTGTATATTATTTTCAATATACATACAGATTTGTTATATACAGTGAAATGTGGTCCGGAGGCAGTACCTCATACTTGGGAGACACCACTCGTGATACAGAAGACTCCAAGTTCCTGGAAAATGGTAATATTGGTTGTAGGTCTCTTTATTAAAATATATATAAAAGAAAATTGTATTAGTTACACTATTAAACTAAAGAACCGCTTTATGGTTTATGCTGAAAATTGATGGAGAAATAGCTTAGAACAAGAGAAAAGACATTATACTTTTCATCTAATAAAAATAATTATAAAATCAAAAATCTTATTTCCTGCCTTTAAGTAGAAATAGAGTTCGCCCGATCAGCAATACATTTCTAATTCTGAAACTAACGCAGACGAAGTCGCAGGAAATAACTAGTATATATGAGATGGCTGATGAGGATAAAATAAAAGTTATTGAGATTTTTAATTGAAATAATAAAAATTCTAAATTTAACCAAAAAAGGGATACAGTGAGGGAAATTGTTACAAAATTACATACTTTTACCTAAAAGACAATCGCTTTTTATGATATTTATAGGCTTGTATACATAAAATTGTACAGACATTTTGTAATTAACCATTAAAAGTTTTTCATTGAATACATATAAAGGAGACATCTACATAAAAATGTAATTTTTTAAAATGTCTGTCTGAATATTTTTTCTGAGAAATCTGTAGACGTGCTGGACCGAATTTGAAGGGAATTTCATTGCACGTAAGTATTGTCCAAAGGCTATTTTAATAACATAGGCTATTTTTTCACTAACTTCAAAGGGAAAAAGGTGCTTAGTAAATATTAATTACACAATTACTTCTACAATGAACAAATAAAATGAATTATTATTATAAAACAAGAGGCCTTATTCTTATTGACTTGAGATAGTTCCATAGCTACCAAGTCAATATCTGATGAATTTGTCTAAATATCAGATAAAACATCATAAGAACAACAAAGCTTATATCTGAGCCTAGCTGTAGTCAATAGCTTGGACATATAAATATCTTATACTCTTCGCAACACAATTTATTCCACAATATACATATATGATGTTGGTTTGTTTGTTAATTTCAAAGCAGACCCGTAGCGATCAGCTATATAATATACATGTGGTAAGAAGATTTTGTTTTTAAGATATTTTTTATTCAACCATTCTTTGTTATCCATAACTCCCATATGTATGACAAGATCTGTTTAATTTTTACATATTAACTCAATTTTGTACTAGTTCAATATATTATATGTATGTATGGTAGTTGATAATATTGTTCAACTTATATATGACATCAGTATGTTCGTTAATACTATATAATGTATGTATATACTGGTATGGTATTGCAGCAGCGGGTGCAGCATCCGAAGCCAGCAGACGTCTCTCACACGCGTGGACGGCGCACAGGGCGTGGAGAGGACACAGCACTACCACCTGGGAATGAAAAATATTAATATAATGATAACAAATAACTTCATCTGTTCCATTTAACAGTAAAAAACATAAATTTTGTATCTTTTTCAAGGTGGTAGAGCCTGGCTGTGGTCATACTACAGCTTGAACATGTGCTGGCTCGACCGAGGAAGTACCACCCTCTCACAGAAGATCGGTGACAAGTAATCTTTGTGAGTGAGAGAGACGGTTGTCTTTTCCCTATTCCCTTTCCTGCTATTTCCCTATTCCCACCCTTCCCTTTTTCTCAACAATTAAGGTTGGCAACGCATCTGTAACACCTTTTGCCGCCTTACACATAAAAAATATTCAGTTGAGAATTTTTGAATGCTGTATTAAAGTTCCAAAAATAATAATAGTGAAGTCTGGTCAGATAATTTACTGTTATTAAATGTATTAAATTTAATGCATAATATGTAAAATTAAGTATATAATATAACTTGAATACTGTATTAATGGTATAAATATTATATACATACATACATATACTAGATAGATAGATAAAGTGAATTAATTTCTGTATTTGCTTGATTATAAGAATTCTTTAATTATTATAATATAAGTAATATATATATTCTAATTATATGAAAGAGCAAGTTCAAAATGTATATATGTAGATTTATAAAGTCGACATTTCTGCAAGTATAATAACTATGTATAATGTATCTTTACTTGTATAGTGTATGTGACACACATATACATGTACTTGACCTTTGACTTAACATATTATTAAGCAATTTACTAATTTAAATTACAAATTGTATATTTCAAGTGGGCAAAAAATCTCACATATCGTCTTAATGATCACGGTTGCTATAAAGTAACCGAAACGTCGGGAGTATGTAGTTAAAATAATAAAATATTAGTTTCATTAGGATGAATACTCGCGCTAAAGCTGGGAAATTGCCAGGAAGAAGAATACTCGCGATAGTCTTAGATCTCATTATGTATAAAGTGTCAGTCAAGTCAATACATAAGTAAAAAAATAAGTGTCACAAAAGTCAGAAGAAATCCTAAAATATTAGTTTCATTTAAATGAATACTCGTTGACTGTCTTCTAAGACTATCTTTTTCTAAGATCTATCTCATTTTATATATATAGTGTAAGTCAATGTATGTATGTATGTACCGGTACAGCTCGGTGTGCAGCGGCGGTGGTGAGGGCGAGGCTCCCGGCCGCGGCTAGGGCGGAGCCCCCGGATAAAGCTCCCACGGCCTCCAGCACCACCTGAAACGATGATACACAGATACTGACGGAGTGATCACAATCTATATATATAAAAATGAATTGCTGTTCCTTGGTCTCACTAAAACTCGAGAACGACTGAACGGATTTATCTTATCTTAGTCTTGAAATGTTCGTGGAGGTTCAGGGAAGGTTTAAAAGCTAAATTTTTTTATTAATTTCCGGGAAAACCCTAAAAACAGCGCTTTTTTATTTCCCATACAAACGGTTTTTTGACATTAGATTTGACAACTAACTAATATGTATGTCAATCATTTTGTCGCACTTCAAAACACGGAGATTAATGGCTTAAGGGTAAACACCAAAAAAATAAATAAGACATAATTTATTTCTTGATTGAGGCAGTACGAAGTCTGCCGGGTCAGCTAGTCTTTTATATATTTATATATATGTTGATGTATACCAACCTTATTGACCCTGGACATCAGAGCTCCCACAGCGGCCGCGCTGGTCACAGTTACTGAGACGCCGCTGTGTGACAGGCGGACAGCCATCGAGTGACACTGACGGACAAACAACACTATATACTAACATACATACATATAATAATATATAGAACTAGTATTGTTGGCGCCTACGTGTGGACCAGCACTACATTTATGTTATATGACATTTTGTCTATATAAACTACGATATTCTACATAAATTTGTAATTCTTTTTTATCCATGTACATACGTCACTTCCTTTATATCATTCCGCTACGATTTCTTATCTTAGTGACATCTGTATCTTCAAATAAAAGTATTTAGCAAAACCAAAGAAGTTTTCTTTAACATACCTAAATACCGAACAAGTATAAATACGAAATAAATCTTGTCACACGCATGTTTATATATACGTGGGAGGTATGGATAACAAAGAATAGTAAAAAATATAAAATATTAAAAATAAAATCCTCTTCCGACACATATATTTATTAATAGAATTAGATTTGTCATATTGAAAATTCCTTGTAATATAATTTGTTATTTGATAGAATTTAAATTCCATATATTTGGCCCACTTTTAAATAGAAGGTATGTATATAATCTAATTATGTAGAATACATGTGTTAATGTATGGTGAGTCAGTGGTGGCCTAGTGGTAAAAGGGCCCGTCTCTCACACACGAGGGCGCGGGTTCGATCCTGGCAAGTACCAATGTGATTTTTCCGAGTCATATGTACTTTATAAGAGTATTTAGACATCACTGATTAATGCTGATTCCCAAAAGAGGGTTGATGTCAGGCAGGCGGCCGGTCGTAAAAACAAATAGCCAAAACTATTCACAACATGTAAGGCAGACCCTGGCTATAGCTTGGAAATTGCCAGGTAGAAGAAGACATGTGGTAATGTATGGCTAAAGGTGTGAAAATTGCCAGGAAGAAGAAGTACCAACCTCTGTAACATCTGGACCAGCTGCGAGCAACAGTTTATATTTCCTGGTGCTGCTCTTGAGGAATTTTTCCAGCAGAGCGCCTCCTCCGTATGACAGCACCAGGTCTTCAGCGTGCAGGTGTTCCTTGGCTTGGGAGCAGATTGATGAAGTGCTGGAATCTAACTCAGCTCTCAGCTGGAAATATATATAAATAAATTTAACAATGTAAAGCAATATGTATATACAGGGTGACTGGTGAATTACTATCGATACTTGAGGACGTGATATTTGACGATCATATATGACAAAATAAAAATTAATATAACATAAATATTACTAAACTTCTGAGTAAAGTTATGTAACCAAAAGTTATGTAATTAATTACGCATCGTGTGAACACTCTACAGATTAGGTATACACACACACTCACGCGTGCGGCGGCGTGGTGTTGTATTAGCACGCCGCCGCACGCGTCCACACTTGGAACACTTGGAACGTGTCCACATTTTATTTATTTATACGGAAATTTTGTCAAAAATTAAGTACCTATTTTTTTACATAATTCGAATGAGAATCATGTACCGAGTATTCTCCATAAATATTGATAGTAATTCACCAGTCACCCTGTATAGAAGGGTCTTCTAGGTTGGTTTTTGTTCTCTAACACAAGAACTGCTGTAATAATTTTTATTAAAGTTTTCCAGGAATATAGTTTATTATATTATAATTTATAATTTATTCAAAATTCCGTCTAGTTATTTATTTAGCACACATACAATTATATTTTGTATGAAGTAATGCATGTGACGGGTTGGTTACTATATTAATTTCTCTTTAAACCATATTAAGAAATCCACACAAAGTTAATTCTATACATTAGTACAGTAACATTAAGTAAGATTTTGATTATATTTGATGGAAAAACCTGGATTTGAGCTGCCATAGAATATATTTTTGAAATTTAAACAAAACAATTTAAACAATCGTAATTAAAAATAATTATTATTGTGATATACATAAATGTATTTAGACAAAAATAACCATTCTTCTATAAAAAAAAATACAAAGAAATATTAATTTTGAAGTATTTCTACCTGGATTCGAACCTATGATCTCTTTAATATTGTATTCCATACTCTTTACCAACTTGGCTATACGATAAGTTGTCTATCTTGTACCACAACAATCAAAATTTAAAAAAAACCTTATTATGATGTATGTAAAACATATCTTATAATTAACTATTCTTCTATAAAATATTACAAGTATACATGAATTTAGTAGTTTTTCCACCCAGATTCGAACCTATGATCTCTTTAATATTGTATTCCATACACTTCTCCAATTAAAACATAAGGTAACTTATAAGTCTTACCTCAGCTATATGATCTCTCAGCGGTTCCCTCAAATCTCTGCCGCTGGGCAGCGTTCCACGTCTAAGAGGAGCAGCCAGCACCAGCCTAGCTAAAGACTCGCCTGCACCTTCCACACTCTGGAATAAAGATCATGATAACCAATCATCAATCAGCTATATACATAATATTAATTCTTTATGAATTCTGTAGTTTTTTGTATAGGAAAGGACCCTAAAGGATATCTATTACAAAGATTTTTCCATTCATCATCAGACTATCTCATGGACCTGGTTTAAGCAGTTTAAATTACCACTTAATGTATTTTTATTACTATAACAACTAATATATGAAAATATATAATAAATTATATATATTTAATCGAGCTTCTGTACTAGATGTATATATTTTTTCTGATTATTCTATACTTCTTCTACCTGGCAATTTTCCCAGCTATAGCCAGGGTCTGCCTTAAATGTTGTGAATGGTTTTGGCTATTTGTTTTTACAACCGGCCGCCTGCCTGACATCAACCCTCTTTTAGGAATCAACATTAATCAGTGATGTCTAAATATTCTTAGAAAGTACATATGATTCGGAAAAATCACATTGGTACTTGCCCGGGCCAGGATCGAACCCGCGCGCTCGGCAACGAGAGGCGGGCCCTTTAACCACTGGGCCACCACTGACTTTTTCTGATTATTCTATACATATGAATTTAACTAAACATACACAGCATAAAACCCTGGTAGTACTTATATACATAATATTCTGCATATATCACAGTTTACTGGTTGTAGTCTGTCAATTCTATTCTATAGTTGTGGTACATTTACTTGAGAAAAGTATATATTGACCTACCAGGAGAATAACTGTAATACTGGGACTATAGCAAGTTGCTACGGAGACACTTTCACCTGTTGTAGATTTATAAGTACTTTATATATTTGCGATTTTAAACCATTATACTGGCATATGCCTTAATGAATATCTTCTTAGTTGTCAATCATTCTCATATGAAAAACATCTTCTTGTTTCCACACAGTACTCAACATTATAATTCATCCAACTAATAAAAACGTTGATATTAGCAAGAAAAAAGTCTCACATTCACTGGTTTAAATATGTGCTGCACCATTTTTTGTGCAGTCTGCAGCATAATTCTTGCTATGCTACTTACACCTTTTCCCCTAAAGCTCCTAAATTAGACGTGAACTTGTATCTTAAATATAAATATTGATATGTGTGGTTACATAAGAAATAGACTCACATTTGACCGGCTTTGTTTTCTTTAATATATATTTATATATCGTTGGATAGAGTGCAAATCTAACTAGCATTGAATAATTCTGCATATGTACATTGGAAACAGATTATCAGTTGAAAGTTTAAGCTGAAATATTTTATATATTAACAACTTTTAGGATATTTTTTTACACTAAGTAATTATATAGTGTTTAATTTGTTCTTCTGTCTGCTTCTTCTGCTAGTAAAGTGGATTTGCACTATCACCGATGATATATATAGTATCTTCCACATCAGATATATCTCTTACCTGGTTATGCTGTGCCCGCTGCTCATCCCTAACAGCCCGCAGTACTCTCCTCACCATGTTAGCAGCGGAGTGTTCTGATGGCAGGGCCCGAGCCAGCTGCCGACCAGCGGCACGGACAGCATTTATTAAAGACCTTCATAAGTAACATAAACTATATATATGGCATTGAAATCAAATACAGATATACAAAATGTAATGAGAAAAAATCTTATACACATATAGACTTAGTTACTTCATATTGAATAAGCTATCTGGCAGAATGATCAAAATAGGTACTACCAATATGGAGGTTAGTGGAAACATAAGTACAGACAAAATTGTATGCAGTAAGTAATAATTTCTTATTTTAATGTTACATACAGTAATAAACTTGAAAACACTAACAGTAACGAATTTATAAATTATAAGTTTAAATAGATAGAGACAAAACTTCTTAGCATTCATGTATTCACGGTGCGTGTGTCGGGTCCATCGTTGTAGTGAGAGGAGCTTCAACAGTGACTGGGACTTGTGACCCAGGTGTAGGTTTAATATATATAGAGAGACGAAACCTCTCATCATTCAATGTATTCACGGTGCGTGTGTCGGGTCCATCGTTGTAGTGAGAGGAGCTTCAACAGTGACTGTGACTTGTGACCCAGGTGTAGGTTTAATATATATAGAGAGACGAAACCTCTCATCATTCAATGTATTCACGGTGCGTGTGTCGGGTCCATCGTTGTAGTGAGAGGAGCTTCAACAGTGACTGTGACTTGTGACCCAGGTGTAGGTTTAATATATATAGAGAGACGAAACCTCTCATCATTCAATGTATTCACGGTGCGTGTGTCGGGTCCATCGTTGTAGTGAGAGGAGCTTCAACAGTGACTGTGACTTGTGACCCAGGTGTAGGTTTAATATATATAGAGAGACGAAACCTCTCATCATTCAATGTATTCACGGTGCGTGTGTCGGGTCCATCGTTGTAGTGAGAGGAGCTTCAACAGTGACTGGGACTTGTGACCCAGGTGTAGGTTTAATATATATAGAGAGACGAAACCTCTCATCATTCAATGTATTCATGGTGCGTGTGTCGGGTCCATCGTTGTATTGAGAGGAGCTTCAACAGTGACTGTGACTTGTGACCCAGGTGTAGGTTTAATATATATAGAGAGACGAAACCTCTCATCATTCAATGTATTCACGGTGCGTGTGTCGGGTCCATCGTTGTAGTGAGAGGAGCTTCAACAGTGACTGGGACTTGAGACCCAGGTGTAGGTTTAAGGGGCCCCTATCTAACGCGTTAAACATTCACCTTCACTATCCAAGCTCCTCTCTCTATACCAAATTTGAAACGAACCTAATAGGGCTGTCTTCGATGTACATTCCAAGAATGCATTACTGTGAGTTCTGGACAGGACCAAGTCTTTTAGTAGGTTATAGAGAGTTTTGGCTCTTATATCTCTTGCTACTTCTTCTACTACATACAAATTTACGAGGTACTATCTTTAAAAATATACTCACATGGCGGTAGATGTTTCCAGGTCAGTTATTATCTGCTCCAATAGATTGACAGTGGCCAGCGCTATGTTCTCAGAACCTTGGACCTTGCTGCAGTAATTTATGATGATAAGAATGTTAACAATCTGACAGACACAATATCCGATGACCACAAAAACAAAATGGATATCTCATGTACAACAATTTTCAATCATTTCCCTCTTCAGATTACTATAAAAAATTAGTGAAAGCCAGATTAAGTAGTTGTAATGCATTCTTTCTTAACAATTCAATAGACATGTAATTTGCCATAAGTATTATAACTAACTTTATATTGTATTTTGATCACTGTACAATGTGTCTTTAATGACTTCGACTTTATATTTAACTCCATAATATCTGTTATAACTTATATGTATGTACAGCAATGTTTCGTACCAATATTACATTCATTTAGTTACGATGAAAGACTGATTCAAAAGCTAACCAAATAATATCTAATTTTTGTTACTTCTGTAGTATAATTATCATTATATTTGGGATTCATGAATTAATGTAATAACTATTTCATATATACATTACAAACTTTTTAGTTGATCGAGTAAATAATGTTCTTACCCTGTCCGTACATCTGCTACGAATTTCACTAAACTTTCCATACTTTTTTCGTCCAACTCTTTCATAGCTTCAGGTGGGCCCATTATTGTTGATATAATTATATTTACAACTTATATAAGGCAAAAAATATTTTTATAAGAACAAAATAAATCTATAGGTTCTAACCTAAACCTAGTCTTGTTTTGACAGTGTTGACAGACATCGAATACGTCAATGACGAAACGAGAAATAAAAAAGATACATCAAGAAAAATCAATATATTATAATAAATCAATAAATCATATAACTTTATACTTAGTGTAATATAAATTAAAATAATAAAGAAATTAGGAACAAACATGATTGTCACAAGAGCAAATATTATAAACGGTAGGTGCTCCTACGAAAAATTTACTCCAAAAAAAACTCCAATCTGGATCTCCATCCGAAAATGATGTTTGTATGGCAGCGTTTGCAGCACTTACTTCGGAAAAAGCAGAAGAAATTGACAAAGAACGCCGTTTATGCTCACTTTCTGTACTACTTAAAGTTTTTTCTGATTTTCTCTTTCTCCTAGGTGTTGATGTCAAAAATGAGAGATTTTCATCGGCAGCAGTACTTTCAGGCGACTCCAATTCTCGATCTAATGGTAATACATCTGTAGAATACTCCTCAGATTCCATTTCCATGCTAAAATCTGTTCGTTTTGTTTCTCTGCTGATAGATTCCGACTGTTTCGGTTCTACTGGCGTACCCAGAGAAGTGAACGCCTTTCCTTGCCTTAATTTATCTAGTGATTCATGAGGATGACTAAGACTGTCTCTAAAACTGCTGTGTATAAAACTTGCATCTGGAATAAATCAAATAACAAATTTGTTATACACATCTTGACTAAAAAAGTAATTTTTTGAATTGTAGTGAATATAATTTCTTTTTTCGCTTAAGATATATAAAGATTAATGTTACAGAATTGACTAATTTAAGACTTATACACCAAATACCTGAATCTTTTGCAAAACTTTTTGTCACAGAAGCTTCTTTCACGTCAATATTTGCTTGCTCATCCATGGATCCTAGTACCAGAGTTGTTTTTGATTCATTGAAACTAGGTTCATCATGCTCGGGTATTGGCTGAAGGCTTTGGAATAATCTGAACGGTACATATCTTCTTTGTTCGCTTTCATCATTCTGTGAATGTATTTCCACTTGAGTATGAACTGTTTCTGAAACTATCTCAGCTTCAGAGCTCTCTTGCGACGAGCTCTTTATTTGTGTATCTGTTTGGTCAATTTCGGAAATGATCATTGATTCACTATCTTCCCGCGATTCATGTTCACTTTCTGGTTCAACAGAAGAACTAACATATGGACAAGGACTATTATCTTCGAATTCCTCTAGTTCAGAGCTACTCGTACTGATTGCGACGCCTAAGAAGTCCCTCTTATAAAGGCGTCTCATTTCTTTTGCTAATTTTTCGTAAACCTCATCGGGGTCATCGTGTGGATTTGGTTTTCTTGGCTCTATTTCTATAATCAAATCTGGTAATGGACTTTCAGGCCTGAGGAAGTAGCTCGGGGAAGATGGAGAAATCGGTTCCTGTCGTTCATAGATCGGAGAAAGAGCTAAAAATAATAATATCTATGATTATCCTGTGTATATTTAAATAAACTAAGATTGCAGGATATATTATTCGTTTTTTTTTTTATTATTTTAAGACTAAATCTTAATCTAAAATCTCGTCTGTAAGTGATCACGGTTGCTGCTAAGGAACAGAAACAGCGTGTTAAAATAATATGAAAAGCGTAGTATATCCGAAAATCTTAGTTGTATTTCATCTAAAAAGTTTCTATTTCTCTTAAAACATAATGTGATCACGATTCTTGAGATGGATGGATGAATTTAAGATTGAGGTCAATAGTCATGAAAGTGGTTATTTCCGTCATAGAAGAGTAATAATAACTGCTGATGATGAAAATAATGTTTGGTTTTATAAACTAGAATTTATTTTGTTGGTTAAAGATAAAGATTACTTCAATATAAAATGCTCACCAGGCAAGTCTTCGAATAAACTTCGAATTAAATAAGTTTTTCTCCTCTCCCATTCTTCAAGAGAACTTCGCAATCGCCACATCCTACAATATCGATCTTTAAATAGGTAAAGGAATGTTTAATTCCAAATGTTCTTTGTAAACTGTCAGGAAAACTGAGGTATTCATTTTCATTTCAGTGTAAGTGAGGGTAGAAGCATATTCTTTGATAAATAAAATACACTATTCACTAAATTATTTTCTTTCACACGGTAATTATAGCTTTTTTTAATTCAATATATTTTAGATTCCTAGTTTTTTATATATATATATAACTGAAAAGTGTATGTTTAGATATTAAAATGTTTTTAAATTCATTTGAAAATATCCGATTGCAATCATCTGGGAACTGTCAAGAAAGAAAATAATTTCGATCGTTCAAAATCGATATGTCTAACAATTAAACGTAAATATATATTTTAAAAATTACTACAATATAGTTTTTAGTATTTAGTTATTTTTATAACAACTACAATACTTTCACTTCAATGTGGAGTTGTATTTTATTTAGGATTTTTCTTTGTGTTGGAGTTATGTTGAAGACAATAACTCGGCAACGCTTGACCGAATTTTCGTTGCGGATATGTTAAATTTTAGAAAACTATTGCCTTAAATTATTATAATGGATCTTTCCCCGGACGAGGAGAATTTCCAAGGCCGGCTGCTGCATCTGGTAAGCCGAAATTACTAGATATATGCTGAAATATGTTGTTTTCTTGTACTTTTAAATTCTTGCATATGTTTCAGTCATAGTCTAAGTAGACCAAAATATTTTACGAGTCTTTTGGAGCTATTTTGTCAGCATAGTGTTATAAATTCTGATTACATATTTATGAAATTATAATAATTTATTGTAATTAAATTTTAATTATTTATTATTGACACAAAAGATCAAAATAAATAATAAAATATTTTGAGTTTTAAGTCGAAAAATATAAGAGATTGATTTTATGGTGTTTCCATCGAGTATTAATAAAATTTACTTTTGTTTAGTATTTAAAAGTTATGCATAATTAAAACAACTTATAACATAATCAATTATGAATTAAACTTAACTAAAAAATTACTTTAAATCTTTTTACAATATATTACTTAAGTCTGATTGTTGTTTATTGTGATTTTAATTCCAAGGCAGCATTATGGGATAACCTGGAACTTCTGCAAGAGTTAATAGCAACGGGTGCAGAGGTGGACGCCAGAGATGGTTACATGAGGAGTGCCCTCCATGCCGCAGCTCTTGCTGAACAGAGCAGCTGTCTGACGGCTCTATGTGCTGCCGGTGCAGATGTTAATGCCAAATCCAATCAGGAAACGGGCGGGAAAGTAAGTAAATGATAATCATGTTTGTTAATCCCTAAGTAATTAGGTAGGTTTTTTATGAGTTTATTATACATTATCAATGTCTTTGTTTGTGTAATTGTGATATCGTAGATTTGAAACAAATCAATTGAATGAGATGCGGTTTCTTTCATTTGAAAGCCAGTTCTCATGCATAGATTCTCAGTTATTCTTAGTAGAAGTGTAAGCGAGAGGTATAACAGCTAAATCTCTCTACAACCTACTACAAGACTTGGACCTGTCCAGAACTAACATCAGTTAATTCTTGGTACATGCATTGAAGGCAACCATTACTATGGTTTGTTTCTTATTTGGTGTGATAGAGAGAGGAGCTTGGATGGTGGAAGTGAGTGTTTAACGCGTTAGATAGGGTCCCTTAAACCTACACCTGGGTCACAAGTCCCAGTCACTGTTGAAGCTCCTCTCACTACAACGATGGACCCGACACACGCACCGTGAATACATTGAATGATGAGAGGTTTCGTCTCTCTATATATATTAAACCTACACCTGGGTCACAAGTCCCAGTCACTGTTGAAGCTCCTGTCACTACAACGATGGACCCGACACACGCACAATACATAGAATACATGGAGTGATGAGAAGTTTTGTCTCAGTCTAATATTAATCCAGGAGTGTAGAAGTATCACCTCTTTTCTAAAATGATGCATGGGATCTTTGGACTGTGATTACTTGATTGATACCTTTACATGTCCCACTTTAATGGATTGAAGATTTTTTCAATTTAACATAATATTGTCAATCCTATATTGATTCCAATAATTATGGATAGCCTTTGGTGCTATAGCAACACTGTAAGAAGAATTCATTACTATTTTAAATCAAAAGGAGTTTTTATTTCAAAAATTATAGCAATTTCTCTATCCTTCTCTCTTAAGCTGTGTAAAAGTTTCAGCAAGATCAGTTCATGCTTCAATATATACTTGAAACTAATATTTATGGACTGCAACATACTGAGCATGAAGTGAATTAGATTTCTCGTAGTTTTTATCATAAGTTAACGTTTGTAAACAGACAGCTCTGCATATTGCCGCTGAGAGGGGTCACGTGGAGAATGTGAAGGCCTTACTAAAAGCTGGAGCCGACCAGACAGTGGTGAACTCTGATGGAGACACAGCCCTGGTTCTGGCTGAGAGGGGCAGGCATCGGCATGCAGCGCTGGCATTGAGGGAGGCTAAAGGTCAGTGACCTTGTAGTTTTTGTATTGGGGCGGCCTATAATACATGTTATTATACAGGGTGACTGGTGAATTACTATCGATATTTGAGGACGTAATATTTAACGATCATATATGACAAAATAAAAATTAATATAACATAAATATTAATAAACTTCTAAGTAAAGTTAACCAAAAGTTATGTAATTAATTACGCATCGTATGAACACCCTACAGATTAGGTATACACTCACACACACATATACGCGTTCGCGGCGTGTTGTTGTATCAGTACGCCGCCGCACGCGTCCACACTAGGAACACTTGGAACGTGTACACACTTTATTTATTTATACGGAAATTTGGTCAAAAATTAAGTACCTATTTTTTTTACATAATTCGAATGAGAATCATGTACCGAGTATGCTCCTTAAATATTGATAGTAATTCACCAGTCACCCTGTATATAAGGTAGAGCCTAGCTGGGGTCATACTACAGCTCGAACATGTGCTGGCTCGACCGGGGAAGTACCACCCTCTCACAGAAGATCAGCTTGAAGTAGACTTAGCTGCGTTTCGTCAGATGAGTGAGAGAGAAGGTTGCCCTTTTTTTCCACTCTTTTCTCTCTCTCCCCCACAGTCAAGGTCAGCAACGCATCCGCAACATACCTTATGTTGCGAATGTCCTCGGGTTGACTACTACCCATCAAGTGGCTTTACCGCCTTTGACATATATATGTACATATAACTTTGTCTGTACATGTTAATTCTAAAAATAAATACATTTTTGATATGTCAGTAGCTTAAACCACTGTGATATCAGCAAAATTCTTATTAAATTTTAATAGATTAGTCAAAAAAATCAAACATTTAGACTGCGAAAAATTTTACAATATGTTGGTACCTCATTTGGTTATTTAAGTTCTGGTCCCAAAAAATATGTATATTTTTGTATTTTTTATACTTTCTGTAACATAAATAATAAACTTAGTTATTTTTTATATAAACTTTAAAGTTATTTTATTTAAGTTTATTAAATATGTCATATTTTTAGAAACTGGGATGCGTCTTATTTGAAAAATAAATTCTTAAGTACAGTTCACAGAGATAGATGTGGAAATTAATGATTACAATTTTAGGTCCATTTTTTAAAATATCCGACGTAAAAAACGTACAATATCTGTATTCGAAACAAATTATGAAAAGAAAGTTTGAGCTGAAATATTTACTATATTAACGATTTTTAAGGTAATTTCTTTCACAATACTTTAATTATTTAGTGTTTAATTTATTACTAATTGTGGTAAAATTTCACCTCAAACTTTCTTCTGATAATCTGCTTCCAATGTAGACTCGAATCAAAACAACTATAAGACAATAAATTAATTAAATGTTTATTATTATTAACCTGAATTTTAGCGCCTCTCTAACCACTGAGCCATCGTGTCACATACATTGTATCTGATGTTTACTCTAAACTGACAGTTTGAAAGTATGACGTAATTAATTCCTTGAACTTACTCCGAGTTATAAATAAAACCTTTAAATTTATGAAGTTGGTTAAATATATATGTATACGTAAAAGAAAGTCGTGTTATTTACACTATTTATAACTCAAAAACGACTGTACGGGTTTGGATGGAGATTGGTGGAGAGATAGATTAGAAAATAGAAAGGACATAGGATATTTTACATATAATGGAAAAAGAAAATAAGTTGATAAATCCAAAATCTTATCTACTGTCTTTAAGGAGGAACAGAATTCGCGCGGTCAAATACATTTTTAATTCTGAAACTAATGCAGACGAAGTCGCGGACAAAAACTAGTATATATATAATGAGTAGTGTGTTAATGAGTGCGTCCTTTAGTTCGTATCTTCTAAACTCATTTGTCGACTTAGATCCAAATAATAATGGCATTACTATAAGACGGATCCGATGTCACCTTTCACCTCCAGGGCTGTCACCTAGTGCGGTGGTAGTAGTTGTGGCCTAGTGGTTAAAAGGCCCGCCTCTCATGCATGAGGGCGCGGGTTCGATCCTGGCAAGTACCAATGTGATTTTTCCAAGTCATATGTACTTTATAAGAGTATTTAGACATCACTGATTAATGCTTTCCCAAAGAGGGTTGATGTCAGGCAGGCGGCCGGTCGTAAAAACAATTAGCCGAAGCTATTAACAACATGTAAGGCAGATCCTGGCTAATGCTGGGACATAGCCAGGTAGAAGAAGATTATCGATACTAACATAATTATTTTTTAATATATAAAATATAGATATATTATATATATCTTTGTGTTTAATATAATATATGTTATTATGATTTTGTCGCTAATATTTTAATCGTAATTTCTCTCGTGTGCCAACCCTAGCTGATAATCTCGGCCGGCCTTGTGCATAACAGGTTTCCTACACCCACCGTCTAAGTATTTAATGCTTCAACAAAATATTGCATAATAATATGAAATAATATCAAAAAATATATAAATGTCTGTCTGTTACAATACTTGATGTCGGGAACTTATTGAATAAAACAAGCTAATAATGAGCACCAGGATTTACTTGTAATATTAAGTAATTTTAACATGAATACTCCAAATTTGTATCATCACACGTAGCGTTAAAAGTGTTTCGTTAATATCTTCTCACATAGTATTATCGTACTATTGAATGAGTAACGGGAGACGCGTCGTGTGTAGTAACGATGTAGACTCGTGGTAAGGATACTGAATCATATTTTAAACAATCGTTTAGTAAGTTTGCAGTAAAATAATTCCTTGAAGTATTGAAGTCAATGTATTTATTGTTCACTAGCTGACCCGGCAGACTTCATACTGCCTCAATCAAGAAATAAATTATGTCTTATTTATTTTTTTTGGTGTTTACCTGTAAGCCATAAATCTCCGTGTTCTGAAGTGCGACAAAATGATTGACATATTAGTTAGTTGTCAAATCTAATGTCAAAAAAAACGTTTGTATGGGAAATAAAAAAGTGCTGTTTTTAGGGTTTTCCCGGAAATTAATAAAAAAATTCAGCTTTTAAACCTTCCCTGAACCTCCACAAACATTTCAAGACTAAGATAATATAAATCCGTTCAGCTGTTCTCGAGTTTTAGTGAGACCAAGGAACAGCAATCCATTTATATATGTATAGAAGATAGATTGAAATTAGATCGTTTGAAGAATGAACGAAAATCTCGTATATATTAACATTTATTTGTTACGGTAAATCTAACGAACAGGTGGATGAATTAAAACGTAATTATTTTTCTTACTACCAGTTTTTATGTTAAACTTAAAAAGCAGTTCATTAATATATCTTATCTATTACTATTGTTTGAAAATTATGAAAAAACTCAATAATGATGAGATCTCAGTCTTTTGCGAGTATTCATTTAAATGAAACTAATATTATTCGTATTTCGGTTGCATTCACACTTCGTCTTCGTGATCACGGTTGCTGCAAATAAGGCAGACCCTGGCTAAATCTGGGAAATTGCCAGGTAGTTGAAGATTTACGGTCACAATACCTGAACACTGTCAGTTTCAATGTCTTCACGACCGTAACTTGATACAGTCGGCGCTACGTCAATGGGGTCCCGTACTAAGGATACTTTTTGTGTTTTTTGGTATTTTGTGTTATTTTTTTAGGGTTCCGTATCTAATTGATCTGGACCGTAAATATACTTGTTTGTCCGTCTGTTAGCAGGCTATATCTCATGAACCAATATAATTAATGTCTGAATTTAAGATACTCTGTTTTGACTATAATTTTTATAATTATTAAGAAATATTTAAATATATATCGTCATCGGCCTATCAGAGCCCACTGCTGAGCAAAGGCATCTTCTCACATGGAGAAGGTTAGAGCATTGATCTGACGGGTTGGTGATTTCAAACTTATAATTGGAAATTATAAGTCCAGGTTTCCTCACGATGTTTTCCTTCATCAGTCAGTGGTGTCTAAATACTCTTATAAAGTACATATGACTTGGAACAATCACATTGGTGCTTGCCAGGTTTCGAACCCGCACCTTCATGCACGAGAGGTGGACCTTCAACCACTAGGCCACTACGACTATATATATATACTAGAAGACCTGGCGAACTTCGTATCGCCCTATAATCAAGAAATATCTATTACGTTTTTTTATTTATATTTTTGGAGTTTACCTGTAAGCCATATCTCCGTGTTTTGAAATGTGACAGAATGATTGACATATTAGTTAGTTGTCAAATCTAATGTCAAAAAAAACGTATGTATGGGAAATAGAAAAGGGGTGTTTTTATGGTTTTCCCAGTAATGAATTAATTTTTTTCAGCTTTTATACCTTCCCTGAACCTCCACGAACATTTCAAGACTAAGATAAGATAAATCCGTTCAATTGTTCTCGAGTTTTAGCGAGACTAAGGAACAGCAATCCATTTTTATATATATAGAAGATATATATATATGTAAAATATACCTACTTTTGGTTCGTTCACATAAATAATGGTACGGAACACTTTATTTCCTACTCCCTCTCACACTTTGATTATTTCCAACTAAATATTCATTAATAAATAGATACTTCATTGGATTTTTGATAAATTTAAATTAAAAATTGTAAATTTAAATATATTCATAATATTTTTAACGGACGTTGGTTTTGAGATTCAGTTTGTGAGCTCGGGGTAAAAGACTGAGTGACTTGTTGTTAATAGTGATGGCAAGTAGTCCACGATATCGATAATTATTAAGAATTTTCAAAATAGTTAATTCACGCTACTTTTATCGTATTTTTGATAAAGAAAATATATCATTTAACATGTTTTACTTATCAATGTAGTTGATTTATAAAACTCTAATTGCTTATGCATAAAATCGTGATGGCCTAGAGGTTATGGCTCGCTCCTCCTGCTTGAGGGCGCAGGTTCGAAACCTGACAAAAATACCAATGTGATTTGTCATTTATATATACTTTCTAAGAGTATGAAGACACACCACTGTCAGACGGTGAATGAAAACATCGTGAGGAAACATGGACTTATA